GGGATCTAAATTTGAGTAAATATTCCTTGGCCTTGAAACATTTATGTAAAAAGTTTAAATTACTTTTTTCACATTTTTATACTCTCATTCTACTTTTAGATTATCAAAATCCTTTCTAAATTCCAGCGATATTTCAGGCAGAATTTAGAAGATTTTCTGTTACTTCAAGTAGAGCGTGCAACCAATGAGAAATTATTGAATTGACATGAAATTTCAACCTGTCTGATTTGGTTAGATGATGCTCTCAAACCATTTCTCTGTTGATCTTGGGTAATCTATCCGATGGGCCTTGGATTCCGGATTGAAGTAGTTTTTGTTAGCATCCAATAGTGAGTTGGGGCATCCTTTCAGGGTGGCGGTTCGCACGTAAGAAAAAATGGGTCTGCTTAAGGGGAGCAGGAGTCGCTAATTTCAACAAGCAGCGGAAACGTCACAACATACTTGAGTGCCATCTATTCTCCAACCACGTATTATTCAATGCTTAGGGGTTGACGGCTCTGATGGGCATTGTTTTTCAGATATTTTTTTGCCGTATAACTCTCATTCGTTGTTACCGATGGTAGAAACTGTTGAAGTAGATTTTCCTAGGGGTGGTGCAGAAGAATACAAAAAAAAATTAAAAAGGATATTAAACGAAGATGTTGAGAATTCAGCGGAAGGAGAGGTATGTTTTTTTCGCTAAGGAACTCTAAACAGTTGCAGTTAGTGGAAACTGTAGCTACTTTTATCTTATCCTAAAACAAAATAATGTTTGCAACATTATTTTGTCATCAAAAGATAATTTTTGAATGAAACGATTACGCGTTTTTCACTTTTAGAGTTTCCGCAAAAAAGCGAAACGTTCGGATATGAAGGAGTCAGAATTGAGAGACGATAAGTTTGATGGAATATGGAAAGGTGCCTTGGTATCCAGTCTTATGACTGAGGGCCTTCTCGGCTTAGGTGTTGTACGTAAGGCACGATTTTCCTCCTTTTGGGGGTAATTTGCGGTATTTGAGCAAATACTTGAGTGTTTTGCTTTTTATCCGCTAGTCTATTTTTTTAGATTCTTGATGTAGAATTACAGTTGGAGACTGCTGATGGGGCTTATGTTTCTTTACCTGCTTCTAAAATTAGCAAAAAGTTGTTTGAAACAATAAAGCACGCTACGGTTACCCTTAACGATCTTTTCCTGATTGGCCAAATGCTAGCTTTCAAAGTTGTGGGTTCGAGTGATACGCCATGCAAGTTGCACGATTAATTGCTTTTGAAGACTTTCTTAATCTTGTTTATTAGTTTACAATTTTTCGTTGCTTTCAGCTATTAAAAAAGGAAAAAAAGTAGGTAAACAGCTCCCTGTAGTAAGTTGTGACCCTTCGTTTGTTAACTCACATCTTGGACCAACAAATATTGCAAATGGTCTTGTTTTGAATGGAAGTGTCAAGGTCGTGGAAGAAAAAGGTTGGTTCTAGTTGAACATATTTTTTTTTTTGATACGCTATGCGTTTTTTAATTCGTAACTTGAGTTTTTTTTCGTATTTTTTCTTTGTGCTTTTTAATAAACCTTTGTAAACGTCAAAATTATTTTCAATTGTCCTGGTTGTCGATATTTTGGCGTAATTATAGTCGTGGAAGTACAGTTAAGAACATATATTAGGAGCATTTACTGTATACAGCTCCTAATTAATAAGAACATTTCAATTTTTACTAATTTTTCTGGAGATTACCCTGTCATTTCATACGGTAGGTGCCATAATGGACCTGGGATTTCGTTCTGAAACGACGGGCTTTTTGCCTTTTTCTGAATTGCCTTCGGAAGTTTCTGCTGAAAATTTGATTGCTGGCCAAGTCTTACTGGTAAGGGTTCAGCAGAATCAGGATCTGAAAGTTAGTTTCTTTCTTTTTAATTTTTAAAGGTATCTGCCATGTTTTTATCATTCATAAGTTCTTGAACTGTTCTCAGTACTGCATTTTTTTCTCATTATTTTTTCATTTTGGTGGCTGAAATGAATCAGAAAAAATTTAGAAAACTCGAGTCATTCAGTTGTCTGGAGTGCCGGAGGCTGAAGATTTGGATGAAAATTCTACTAAAAAGTTGAGGAGGAATATGTTAATGCCAGGCACCCTTTTGCTGGCGCATCCACTAAAATCATTCGGAGGTGGTTTGTATGTCGATCTCGGCAATGGTTTGTATTCAGTTGCTAAATTTATTAAAATTGTTAACCATGAATTCGGTTCATTTCAACATTTAGTTTTATACGTTTGGAATAGTACGTTACAGCTTCCTACCTGTTTTTGTATTAGAAAATTTTTATTTTTTTTTATTTTTTATAAGGTTTTTTTTTTCTTTGAAAGGAAAATTTTTATCCAAAAAATTACGTTTAGTCTGTTATGGCTACTGTAAATAATTTACGTATTATGAGAATAGTTGAAATCTCCATTACTTTTCTTTTTAGAGACTACTGGTAAGCTTTATTCTTCAAATGGTCTGATCTTCCTTAGTCCTAAATAAGGTTTATTTAAGGATACTTAAGTGGTGTATTACTTACAACAAAATCAAGATTTTGGGCAAATATTTAAAAGGCGCTTTTTCAAAGTTTTAGAATTTCTGAAGAACCATTGTAAATGACCGTGATTCTCCAGTAGTTTCGAATTTCTGCACTAAACAGACTATCAAAAAACAGTGTTCTTGCTCTGATACAGAAAAACTGATATAAAAAACAAGCTTTTTATTTTTTTTCCTGCACCCTTCGCCTAACACTTTTGACCCAAGTCAGGTTCAGTATTTTTACAGTCTGAAATTCTCAAGCAAAATTTGTTGGTTGGGGAGGTTGAGGGGTCACACTTCAAAAATTACTTTTTTGAATAATTTTTCATATATTAAATAGTGAGTTTTCTTGTTAACGTTGCTTGAAAAAGACTGTTCTAATTTACGAATAAAAACTGCTAGTTGTAGCTCATATGAGGAATCTTCTAAGTAAGATCAAAGCTGGGCTAGTTTGGTATTTTTAAAATACTTTTGTAATGGGTCAAAAGATTGAATTAATCTATTTCTCAATTGGGTTTGACTCTCTAAGAAGTTCTTCTTGCATCTTGAGTTTAACCTTGTCATTAGGTGTAGCGTATAAAAGATTCAAATTTGGAAGTTTTGAGCCATAGAATTTGTCATTGGATGGCGTAATCGTCTTTTGAGGTTCCGCAGTCATTAGTTTATTTATAATTCTATCGACTTTTCGGATGGGGATTGAATTGTACCGTGTTTAAAGGCGCTAATTGACTAGTTTTGTAGGTGTGAAGACCTATTTGCGCAACCGCCATTTACCGGTAAAGTATAGGAAAAATATCGTGAAAATCGTCAAACCGCTTCATTGTGTTGTAACTTTTTGCCAGCAAAATAGTCATATTTTGTCTGTGTCAGCTCTTCCTGATATTGTTGCTGTTAGCTCACCTGAACGGAGAACTGATTTTAATGTATTTCTTATTTATTACAGAATTTCTTACTCTTTTCAACTTTTGCAACAGGCAAAGTTATTAGAAGATAATATGCATTTTTTTTTATATTTTAAGAGCATTAAAGTTGGTGATGTCGTAACATGCAGGGTTTCTGGTTCAAGCAAAAAAGGTGCAGTTAATTTTGATGTGCTTGTTGACGAAAACCATTATGGAAAAGTTTCTTTTACAGCGATGGGAACTATTGGGGCACTTCGACCAGGTTCCAGCATATTTTTTATGAGTAATAAAATTATATGCTTATTTTGGCAATATTATTTCGGACTGTCGAGTGTATTTAGATGCTTACGAATTGGGTTCCGAACATTTAGCGCGAGTTTTAGGACACAGTTATTATCAGAGGCATCTTTTGGTCTCAACAGTGCAAAGCGTCATGGCCCAAAAGTTTGTCAGTGTCGAGGTACTATGTTATTTTTAGAATAAACTTTGCTGGACATTTTCGATTTTTATCATGAATTTTGTTAACACTCTGGTCAATATGAAATGTTGTTCTTTTCAACATTTCAATTCTGGGTTTTTTTACTTTACAGGATGCTGTTATTGGTAAAAAAGTTAAAGCGACTGTCACAGGTGTGAAATCTAGTGGAGTTTTTGTTAAAATTTACGATACGATCGTGGGTTTTATTCCACGGATTCACCTTGCTGACAAAATATTGCTGAAACCTGAAAAACATTTTCGAAAAGGTGATTTTTTTTTAAATGCTTTTGAGGAAGGTCAGCTTTGTTCGCTGATGTGTTGTTTCCAGGCGTTTACTTCTCCGGCCATTTCTTTTTTTTTGATTTGTTATAGTTTTATACTTACTTTGGTCCTCATGGTGCTTTTTATTTCCAGGCCAAGTCTTGAGGTGTAAAGTGCTGTATAAGGATCTTGAGAAATCTCGTTTGTTTTTGACTTGCAGACCGTCTTTCCTTCAAAGTAAAGAAAAACTGATATGCGACTATAACACTGAAGACGTTGGCTCGACCGTTCCGGGAGTTGTAACGTCTGTGCGGACAAACGGAGCTTTGATACTTGGATTTTACGGGAATGTGGCTGGTTATATGCCAACACGAGAAGCAGCACGCATCAGTGAAGTGAAGTGAGTATAATATAGCATTATGAATTTCATTGCGTTTTTGACTACTATTGTCTTTTGATAATTAACGTTTTTTAAGTAAATTAGGTTTCTTAGTAAAAGCTTTGATCTTTTTAGGGTTGGAATGACTATTAATGTAAAAATAAAGGGAGTTGACCCAGAAAACAAAAGGATTTTGGTAAGCTTCTTTGACCCGTCAGGAGCAGATGAAAATGCCGAACCAAAGCTAAGGGTAGGCTTTTTCAAAAGTGAATTGTCAAATGGATATTGCTCTTTTACCGTTCTTTACTTTTACTCGGGCTTTTTTCCCAGAAAAACTTGGATGGAAACAATGGGAAACTTCAACAGTTATCATCTAAAATAAAATCGAACAGGGATAACGGAGTATGTTTCTCTATTCCAATGTGCCTTTCGTTTTTTTTTTCACTTAATATTTTTAACCTTGCTAATAAGGTGCAAATGGTGTGATGCAAGTTCAATTCAAGCTAATGTCTACAATTTTTTTCTTGTCGGTTAAATTATGTTGTTCAGGCATTTTAAAGTTCGTTTGCTAATTAATAATTCTTTAGAGTTTGAGAGACAAAAAGAAAGTCAAAGTTTTTACAATTTGTTCAGCTAAAGTGATTGGATTATGGTCGAAAGGAAGAAAATCTAGTTGCGCTGTTGAACTGGAGTTGCCTGGAGGGAATATAGGTATATTTAGCAGTTTTTCAATCTCTGCACGTCAACAATTCTTTTTTTCACAGTGCTCAGTATATCGTTTAGGTAGGCTTCACGGTTGCGAATTAGACGAAGATTCCTTAAATGCCGACCCGGTGCCTGTAAAAAAGTTTGCATTGGAAAAGAAGGGTCGAATGATTCTTGTGAAAGTTATCGGTTTTTCAAAAATCAGACAACAAGCTTTGGAGAGCCCTAAACTTTTGAGACCAACAAAAGTGAGACCTATCAAAGATGGGAAAGTAATAACAAAGGTTAGACCACCATTGAGGATTCTAGTATCGTTTATTTACTCGCTAATTTTCCGTTTCGATTCTCTTATTTTCTAGGTATTGCGAGTAGCTGACTGCACTGTTCTACCAGACAAACTTCGATCGGCTCAAAAGAAATTAAAAAGCGTAGGCTACATACAAAAGTACACACAGGGATCGTTTGTTCCCGTCTTCGTGACCGAAGGACCACATCGGAGCGGTGTGCGAGTAGAGGTTTCACCGTTATGGAACGGAATAATAGAAAAGCAGAATCTAGCAGGGGATATCCTGGTAAACCATAATTTTTTCCCAACAGTTTTGTTTGATACGTTGTTGAGTCGTTACGATTTAATAAATATTACAGTAGACACTGAGTTTTTACTCAGAACCTTGTGTATTTTCTTAGCACTTTCAAGCTATCTCTTCTTTATTTTTACGTGGCTTTCTGTGAGGTTTTTGGTCAACTGATATAGTTTTTTTGGCTGCTTAGTGCGGTAATTCTCTAACTGCTACATCTTAATGACTTTATTATAATTGAAACTAGAAATTATGGAAAAAAAACTGAATTTAAATTGAGCGGAACTACAGTTGTTTACTTCTGAGGTAGTTTAGGGTTTTCAGCTGTGGCGCCTGAAAATTGTTTGGAATGTTGTGGAAAGTTATCTTTGGACTCAACTTCACTCTTACAAACCTACAGACTTTGTTTAAAAGTAGCGTATTAAAAATTAAAATTTGTTTCGGATGTTTGGAAGTAATTCAATGGGTGTTATTTTATTCTTGAACCAGAGAATGTTGCTTGAATCACTGAAACTATGCCCAAATAAGAGGGTCCGGTTTCAAAGTCAGGTTGGAACAGTGTAGAAAAATTACCCTTGTTTAATTGGAAGATTAAGATGACAAAAATTACGTTTTAATTATCTGGACTGCAAGCTTAGTAGAGCTACCGTTTCTTTATTGCAGTGTTGTGACGGCAATGTTTCAAAAACTTGCTTTAGAAAGGCAGATGCATTCTTTCAATTGGTATTCTTTATTTTTTTGCGATTTAGACACAGTTGTAGCAAAGTAAGTCCTGCTGCATGATTGATTATGAAGAAGGAAAACTCAATGATTTGAAAAGTACAACTGGTTTTACCGTAGCTGCAATAGTAAAGTGAGAGCAGTTTGTCAGTTGTTGTCTTTAAAGATATTTTTGGTTAGATACTATTTTTTAAAATTTTGTGAAAATAGAATTTTTGGATTTGTTCTGATTATAATGATGACTGTTTATTGTCTTAACCAAATTTGATATAGTGTAGATTGTGTACTTACCTAATAGACAGGATAAGTCGTTGTACACTGTCTTTCCGAACACTACTTTAGGGCTTTGGTCCTTGGTAATTAGATAGCGTATGAGGTTATGGTTTGAGCAATTATTTATCGGCATAAATATTTTTGTTACTTCATTGAGATGTATCAAACGCTGTAAGCTTGTAACAAGTCTTGTCCTCCATCTGCTAAATAAATTCAATGCGTGATTTTACAGCGAGTAAATGAAACTGATGAGGGGTCTGCCTTGGTCGATATCGGTTTTGAACCTGGACAGTTTTTGAAAGCACGTGTTATTGGGATAAATGACATGAAAGGAGCAAAGTCGAAAAGACGGAAAAAATATTTGAAATTATCACTTATTGACAACCCTGAAGTACTATTTCATTTTCACACTTGTGCTTTTTGCTTTGAGACTTTTAAGTCAAACGTGGTTTTACTTTGTTCGTTATACTACAGACAGTGAAGTTTCTTCAAATGACTTAAAGATGGATTTCTTGTTGTCTACAGGTACTGAATAGTTGCAGGTCTTTCAACGAAATGATAAGGTTGTTGGACGTGTTACAGGAACCACTGCGTGTCCAACAACCGTTTCATTTGTACTAAGTAATGGCCAAAGGGCAGTTCTTACCCCAACTGGTGTTACTGGTCAATATTCTAAAAGTCTTGAGTATTTAAGGAATTTTAAAGAAAATGAGGTAAGTTTTGTTTATTACAACGTTTTTAGGCATCTAAGGGTCTTAGCTTTCAGGTCCATCATCTTCATCTCTTGCGTTTTTCTGAAAAAGGAAGTTTTTGGTATGCTGTTACTAAAGGCCGTTATGAAGAATGGCAGTCAAAGACTGAGAGGCGTAACTATAGCAAGCTTCTGAGTGAAACAAGTGAAATAAAGGTTTTTGCATTTTCTCTATTATCGTTGTAGTAATAATCTTTCAAAAAGAATATTGGAAAAAAAGAAGTGAAGGGACACTTTTCTGCTATTTTAACTTTTAAGATTAATATGTCTTAATACTGTTGCTTAACGTTCAGAGGTTCGGTACCAGACTGCATCATTTCTTGTTTTAACGAAGGAAATTAAAAAATAAATAAGTAAATTTTCTTATGCCACATTTTCCTTTCAGCATCTTTTTTCAGAATTTATGTTTTTTGTATTATTTATTTGACTGTAAGTGATTCTTGGTTCTGGTGGAGAGCTAGCTGTAGTAGAGAATGAGCAGGAAAAATTTCTCAGCTCTTTACTGCTACTTCCAAAATTTTGGAAAATGTATTTTTATGAACGTTTTTTCATTAGGCTTCGTTTTTGTCATTGTTTTTTGAAAGCTCACTTGCATTTTAGTTATTTGCTAGTGAAATAATTTTCATGTTTTTTATTTGGAAACATTCAGATTTTCGTTTCTTAATGTCAGAAGTCAAGTGACATGCACTAGATATAAGTTTTGCCTTGATAGTTCACCGGCTACAGGAATTTTTGAACTTGGATCTGCTTCGCTTTGGCAATACCATTTATGTACATGACAGGAAGGAAGGTTTTCAAGAGGTTTTTATTTCTAAAAAATTGCTGTTTCAAAATGACCTTATTACTTCTCTTGAACCTTATCTTTTGCTGAGATTGAGCTACGAAGAGACGGTGAGGGGTAATTGAAGGTGTAGAGTAGATTGCTACTCGGGCTTTGCAGTTGGTGCGGTACGATTCACTGAGTTTTGTCTTTACAAAGCTCACTGAAAAGTTTACTGTACGTTGTGCGCCGAGGAAAGGAAAGTGATTGTAGACAGTTCAGAAGACAGGCAGACGAATGTGTTTTTTAAAGGGACTGAGGAAGTCATTAGATTTCAGTATTTATGCAATTCATGTATCTGCGAGGTAAAATATCTTGCTTATGCAGTTGGAACTTTTTATCAGCTGGGCAAGTATAATTCAACAAGTGATGGGATTGGAATTGAACTGTTGCGAATGGTTGGTAGTCAAGATGCCCACCTCACAAATTATGCTAGGCTTTTTTTTGATTTTTAAAATCAGTGCTTGAAAGTCACTTCCATTGGCATCGCTTTCTTTTACTTTCAATTTGCCTCACGAGAACTGGCTGTTTAGCGCAAATAGGTTGTTTCCTTTAAAGATTCTTTATTCCTTGATCTTACTTTCTCATTTGATACAAGGCATTCACGATATATGAAAGTTAACTTAGTCTGCTATTCTTTTAGAAAAATAGCGTCTTAAAAGGGTTTATAAGCAGAATTGCTGATGAAAATACGCTTGCAGAAATTGGGCCTGGTGTCTTTGGTTGCGTAAAAAAGTGCAGGTAAAACGAAAGGTTTTGTCCTGAATTAATTTAGCATTTCAAATTACTTAACGTTCTTGCCGAAATACATTCGTTGGTCTAGATCTGACGTGCACTTAACTTTGGATCAGGTCGTAACTCTAAAAGTTTTACAAGTTTTCGAAGACGGAGGGATTAATTTATTATTTATGGGAACAATTACTGAAGCTGCTGACATGGTATCTATTTTTAACTTTAGCTGTTTAAAGAACTTCTGCTACTTTTCGTGTTTTTTCCAGTATCTCTTTTTTGAAAGCTTTGTGAAACAAGTTTCATTATTTTTTTATGTTTTTTATTATCAAACTTGGAGGCTGCAGAAGAAAATACAGAATTAAAACCGAGAAAAAGAGCGTGTAGTAGTGATTTGGAAATACGCGGTGATGTATCAGAGAAGCGGCTTAAAAATACTGCTGAAGAAAAATGCGAACACGTTGAGGAGAAATCTCTTTCTTTAAAGGTTATTAATTAATAAGTGTTTTTAATTATAAAGTCTTAAATTTGTCATGTAAATGGTATTTTGATCAGCAGCTGTTTCAACTTAATCGTCAAAGTTTTAAGTTTTCTATGAGTGTACAAATGTTTCAGCTTAAAGACCCAGGGTTCGATTGGAGCCTTAAAGGGTTCACGCCTGCTGATTTTGCTGCGGTTGGAAAGATTGGAAAAGACGTAAAATCAGAGTTAACTTCCTTTTCTAAGGTTAAGTTGGAAAATGTTCCGCAGAATGGTGTTCACAAAGTTAGCGAAATAGAGTTTAAAAAAGAAAAAGAAGTCCTAAAAGGTTGGTTTTTTAACTTTTTTCGAATTCCTATTAGCTTTGTTAGGTTTGTCACGACTTTTGTGAAATGGTCTATTCGTTGCATACTTGCAGTGACATCTACTGTAATTAATTTTTTCGATTTAGATCGACAAACGGTTGATATTTTGAAAGAAAAAGAATTGTTTTCGCTCGAAAACAGCCTTATGGACATACATAATAATCCCACTTCGGAAACCCACTTTGACCTGTTGGTCACTGGCAATCCGAATTCGTCGGATGTGTGGATACGGTAGGTAACTATTTGTTTTATTGTACGTAATTTCATTACGTCGCTCGTGAAAAGCTTTAATTTAGGTACATAGCTTTTTTCATTGATAAGAAAGATATTGACCGGGCGAGAGCAACCGCCGAAAGGGCTTTGGAAGTCATCAACTTCAGGTTTAAAACGTACTTCGAATAAATTATATAAAAGATTTTGATTTCACTTGTTTTCGATGTTTGTAATTGGTTCTAGACATTTATGCATAACTTTTAAGAGAAGAAGAAGAAGTGTTTAATGTTTGGACTGCATATTTGAATTTGGAATCTACTTACGGCTCACCAGATACGTTAAGAGAAGTGTTTGAAAGAGCTATTAAAAATGCGGACTCGCTGAAGATGCACAAAATCATGTACAAAATTTATCAGAAAGCGGGAAAAGTCGAGGTAAACGAAGCGGTTTTAAATCTTGTAATTTTTTTACTTGTCATGATTTCTGTTTGTTTCGTTAGCGTTTTTTCAGGAAAATGATGAATTATTGGAAAAAATGTTAAAAAAATTTCGCCACGAGGACGTGGAAGTTTGGACATTATATGGTCAACATTTGATGGAGACAAATCGGGAAGAGAAGGCAAGAGAGCTGATGAAGAAAGCTTTGAAGTCACTTCCGGAGAAGCATCGTGATTTTTACTGTTTTTATTTATAATGGTTTTTCCCTGTACATTTATTTTAATAAGAATTTCTCTGATCTCTAAAATTTTTCAGTTTAAAGCTACGGTTTAAGTAATTTTTCTCAAGCTACTGCTTTACCAGTTTCTTCATTCTTTTACTTACTCAGCTAAAGGCAATCAGTTATTTTCTGTCTTTTTTATTTTTCGCTTTCTGTTTTGACTATTTATCAAAAACAGGTTTTCAGATGTCTCTATTCTGTCTCGCTTTGCACAGATGGAGTTCAAGATGGGTGATATGGAGCAAGGAAAAACAATCTTTGAAAGCATTCTCAATTCTTATCCAAAAAAGACTGATATATGGGTTGTTTACATAGATTTAACAGCAAAGAAAGGGAGTATTGAGGAAACAAGGTGAGATTAAGGATAAGCACTTAATCATCTATTCTCTTTTCTATAAAAAATGTGGATGTTTGTTGAAATATTTTATTGATTCTCTTTGATTCAGCTTTTATAAATTTTTACTGTATCTTTAGACAGCTTTTTGAGCGGGCCACTTCTTTAAAGCTTTCAAGCCACAAAATGCGTCATTTTTTTAAAAAATGGCTTGCATATGAAGAGAGGAACGGAAATGAAGAAACGCAAAAGGCGGTAATTACTTCCCTTTTATGTATTTTTTTGACTCTGTTTTTTAGAAATATTTTTTTGAAATTGAGCAGTAGTTTTGGTTATATTTTCTGTTTATTTATGATTCAATCAATGCCTGTATCTAAACCAACTCTCCTTAGCGATGCGGTGAATTTTTCAGGTAAAGCAAAAGGCAGCTCAGTACGTCGGTGACTTCCTGAGAGAATTGAACGTTTAAGTCAAAGCACGGCGTGAAGCAGTTACTGAGATGTTATAATTATACATAACTTTGAAATACACGTTGTTTCAAATGGAAGTTATAAATTAATGTTAGGTGAAGTTTGTTTACCTTCGAAGACTACTTTTCTTTATACTTTGTTGTTTACTGCTGTTGTTGTTGCTGTTGTTGTTGTTGTTATTTGTATTGAGCTCACTTCACTGCACTGATAGTTGTATACTTTGAGGAAATTGACTGTTATAGGGTATATTGATGATCTTTATAAATGACAGCTACTGTATAAAGATTAGTTGGACATCTATGTACAAATCATTTTTTGCTTGCCTTCTGTGACAAGTGACAAGTGTAATTCATTGCTAATAGGACCAGGTATTTTACAGCATACATAAAAGAGCATTTTAATTTACCGTTCAAAAAGTGAGCTTGGCATCTTTATCGAGAGTTGCGCTTAGTATTTTTTCATGCTTGTTTTGGGCATTGTTTTGATTTTGGTATTCATCAAAGAAAAGCAACTTTTGAAAACATTCCAAATTTGATTTGAAGGCACTGGCAACTGCTGTAGGTATAGGTAACGCAGCAAGGGTCGTCATAGATGGCAAAGCCTTCCTGTTTTGTCTTTCTACTGAGACTGTTGCTGAGGTCACAGTCAGTTGCACAACGAGGCACCTGTTTCACGACAAAAGTAGGAGCAATATTTTAAACATTTATTTGGAAAGTGCTATCGAAAATTAGGGAACAAGCAAAATTAAAAAGATGGCAGTCTTCTTCATTTTTTACCCTGATGGATTAATAAATTTCTGTATTGGGTGTGCCGAATGAGGGGTAGCAATTATCGGGAATCATTTGGAATAATAGTTTTTTTTGCGGAGAAGTGCCTAGGCTTTAAGACGTCGTTGAAGCAAGGCCTCGCCTCATAGACTGTCGATGTTCCTTCCATTTTTATAAACGCAAATAATTCGTTGTTAAAGTCATTTGAAGAGTTTTGTCAAGCAAATTGGCACGTGCATTTAATGTAGTTATACTAACACATTGTTTTCTACTACAACAAGATACTGTTTCTGCTTTTACTAACCTAAGGAAATTGTAGTACATAACTAGAACAAATAATGGCTACACCTATGTGTAATCAGTATTAAAGGTAAGGAAAAGCGAGTGCAATTGTTGACAATTTAAAGAGCAAAAATTAAATCCAAATTTATGTGCTGCGATAAAATCAAGTCTTATCATTTAGACTGAAAAAATATTTGGATTGAAGAATACTTTTTTTTCATTTTCACATTTCTAATGTTTGCTTCTACAGTGATTACTCAAGGATTCAGTAAGATCTTTTGACAAAAAATCTGATTGCATACAGAAAGCAAATCAGTTACAGAAACTGTCAATAAGCAGATATTTATATTAGTTTTCGTAGAATTGTCGTTTTAACGAATAATTTATATGTAAACTGATGAAGTAAGAATTAATTTTGAAAATGCTTGTATTCTAATACTAAGACTTTCATAGCAGATTTAAATTCAATAATCTTAAAATATACAAGTCAAAACTATGCAACTAGCAGTATTTAAAAGAACCGATGTTAAAAATCTATCATGCATCTTCATTGTTAGGAACTGTATCGGTCGGTGATAAACGAGATGAAATTATTTCTTGGGTTTTTAGTACCCTTCATAGTTTTACTCAGCCTAGTGAGAGCGACCCTTACGGTATGACAGTTTATTGTAAACGTGTCTTATTTGTAAAAAATTTCGCTAATCGTATTATGATTAGTGAAAACTAGGATGGACTAGTCTAATAAAAAATGTGATAAATTTCTAAAAAATATGTTTCCTTGACGGCATATTACTTTTATTTCTCAAATTTGTTTTCAGCCGCCTTTATCTCCTCTATGCTTTTACGCATCTGTATGTATTTTAAATTTCAGAATCGTAAATGTATCGGAAAAAATCAAATGTCTCCCGGTAAACACATTTTCTTACTGTTACTTCTGATATTAATTTTAATGTTTAGTCAGCGAATTTCTAAAAATGTTACAGCTGTTCAGAAAAAGTGTTTGGTATTAGACTGTGAAGTTTCAGAATGCCTAAACCACTGTATTACTCCAAATTTTCAATGCCACAATGGAAGATGCGTTGCACGATCTAAACTTTGTGACGGAATCAACGATTGTGGTGATGCTAGCGACGAATCTATAGTACAGGGTAAGTGCTGTTCAAATATCACTGCCATCTCTAATTATTAAATCTACTTAGAATATTAATTGCTTTACAGTCTGTAAGATGTGGCCAAAAATAAGAGTAGCCCAGCCTTTCGTCCGTGCTAAAGCAGGCAATAAATTATGGCTTACCGCCTTGGTTCCTCATTTGACCGACAGTTTTCAGGTGAGAGATTAACCCTGAATTAAAGTAATATAAATCCAAAAAGTGCTTCAAAATTTTATATCAGTTGTTCTAGTACTGACATTTTGAAGAACTCTAATACTGAGATTATTTCTTAAC